GTGTGTGTGTGTGTGTGTGTGTGTGTGTGTGTGTGTGTGTGTGTGTGTGTGTGTGTGAACGCACAGATGCATTTTGATTGTGGAGACCAGAGGTTGATGTTGGGTGTCTTCCTTGGTTTCTCCCTACCTTATTATTTTTAGAAATTGTATTTATAACTTCTCAGTTTCACACACACACATTTATATGTTTCCCACTGTCTTCTCATGTCCTTCCCTTCCTGCCAACTCTCTACTTTCCTCCACTAAGTCCCCCTCTGACTTTCATGTTTTTATATAAAATTAATTTTGATTATTAATATTAATTAATAGTAAATAAATTATTTTAAATTAAAATTAATTTGATTAAAATTTTAATGAATTAATGTTTTAATATAAAATGTGTGCTGTAGGAGGAGCATACACTACAGTGCAGGTGTGGAGATCAAAGGACAACTTGGGGGAGTTGTCTCTTTCCAACTGGGGGTTCCTGAGATTGACTTCAGGTCATTGAACTCAGTGGGAAGTGCTCTTACTAGTTGACCCATCTTTCTGGTTCTTTGTGTGTGTGCTCTGTTGCATTTAATTAATGTTGCTTGCATTGCCCACTTCATTGATGGGAATGTGTGTGTATGTGGGGTGGGGGGTTTACTCGAGTGGGAGCAGCTCACCAGTGGCTAAAAACCCCAGGGAAATTAAAAACACACACACAAACACACACACCCACCACACACACACACACACACACACAGAGAGCAACCACTAACTGCCTCTAGCTACTCAGGAAGTGGTGGCACATTAAGAACACCTCCCCATCCATGCTGGAATGTTGATGGACTCAGACTTCTGTAAATCTTACACAGTCAGTGCTACCATGAGCCTATGTGTGTAGCAGCTACGACATGTCCAGAAGACAGCTTTTCTTAGCACTCCTCCCCATCCTATGGTTTCTCTCTCTCTCTCTCTCTCTCTCTCTCTCTCTCTCTCTCTCCTCTTCTCTCTCTGCTCTCTCCTCCACAATGTTCCCAGAGCCTTAGAGGAGGCCATATTAATGAATCATTTATGGCTGAGAACTCAACAGTACTTATTCTTAGTACTTCAGTCAGTACTGAGTCTCTGCATTAATTGTAGCCCACTACAAAGAAGAGCTTCTCTGATGCAGGCTAAGAGCTGTACTAATCTATGGGTATAAACACAACTATTGAGAAGGAAGCTTGATGCCATGCCATTTCACAGAGCAACAGCAGCAGGTTCTCATGGGCCTGTGACCTCCCCAGACATGGGCTCTTGATCAGGGTCTGAGTTTTCCACCTTATTTTTTGAGACAAGGTCTCTCACCAGGACCTGGGGCTTACTTGGCTGGCTACAGTGGCTGGCTAGTGAGCATTGGGGATCCTCTGGTCCCTGCTCTCCCCAGTGCTGGGATTACAGGATACTGCCATTCCTGATTTTTTTGTTTGTTGTTTTTTTTATGTGGGTGATGGGATGAAACATAGGCCCTCATAGGCCCTCATTTTTGCAGAGTGAGCACTTTTTGGATCTCCCACCACTCTGGAGACACTTCATCAGTTCACTGACTGTAGCCTTCCGTCTGGCTCTAAGCCCGCAGGGGCAGACTTGCACATCACTAGCCCGATGCACATAAGGACACTCCCAGGGTATTTTATGATCAGGTTTGCACCTAGCCACATCCTGTGCCCACTCTAAACAGTCACAAGGAGTGGTACTGCTAGACCAGCATGGTCTCCATTGCCCTATGTGATGATGGGAGTGTTCTAGAGCCATGCCATCTTCCCTACCACCTACCAGTATGAAATATGACCATTGTGGCTTAATTTTAAATGACAATCAGTGTGAAGTTGAGGAGCCATGTGTTGTTTGTGGATGGGCAGCTCCAGAGGATTCATAGTTGCTATTGCTCTTACTTGGGCCAGAGCTCCTGCCGTTCATGCTTAGCAGTAAAAATTTGCACAGCTTGTCCTTCGACAGCATCCATAGTGTACTGTCTATCCCAAATGTGAGGATGAGCTATGAGGCCTTCATTCTTTAGCAAGGGGGTCCTCTTACAACGCACCCAGACATGAGAATACGTGCTAGTGATGCCAGGCAGCAAGGTCAGAAAGGAGTTCAAGGCCAGTCTGGACTATGTGAGACACTACCTCCCTGCGAAGGCAAAGCAAAAACATACTTGTCCTGGCAACAGTTGGCAGACTATAACCCCATGACCTCTGCTCACCAGAAAGCACAGAGGGCTTCCTCACCACTATCAAAAATCCATCAGCCTCCCAGGCCCTGCAGGAGATATTTACTGGGTGACCCTGATCCAATTTAGTTCCAACATTGTTCCATGAACTGAGAGCTCTGTCCCATACCAATGGGAATTCCAGTCAGCTTTCCTTGCTTCTGTCTCACAGGCTGGCTTCCCATGACCCCTCCCTTCCCATGACCCTTTAACTTGTTCACTGTGGAGGTACCATGGACTCAGGAACTTGTTTGCATCACTGGTTCACTGTCAGGGGCCTTGTCCAGGTCAGTGCATAGCTGAGGAGAGGGACAGGGCAAGGGGTGCTACCTCTGGGTACTTCTTTGGGCTCAGCTGGTTGGCAGCTTCCATACTTGGTCCCTTTTGGTTTTGTGGCTTTGCTACCTACACACTGCTGATTACATCATAGCCATGTGGGACAGCACATGACTGCCACTCTCTTCCCTGGGAATGGGTTAGAAGTCCTGAGCCTCTTACCATCTCTTGCTTTTCTTCAGTGACTGACCCTATGTTGAAGCTGGCCAGTAGCCTTCAACCATCAGTCAGACTCATAAACCTCAAAAAATCCAAGATTCTCTGGGCAGTGGCGGTGCACACCTTTAATCCCATCACTTGGGATGCAGAGGCAGGAGGATCTCTGTGAGTTCGACATTGGCCTGGTCTACAGAATGAGTTCAAGGACAGCCAGGGCTATTATACAGAGAGAAACCCTATCTCAACAAACAAAACAACAACAAATCCAAGAATCCAAGGAAACAGACAAAACAAAATATATATTTCACAATGTCATACTGTCATACCTGAGGTCTGAGGCCAAGTCTGCCTAGCAACAGCCTTCCCAATTGGCACCAGTCAGGACCTATGTTGGAAATCCCCAGGACAGATGAAACAGGTAGACATCAGAGCCTGCATAGTCACCTTTCTGCCTTCTACCCAGGGCAGCTGCCCATGGCAAACCTCTTAAATCTGAGCACAGAGCTCCATATACCACCAGAACACAGAGAGAACATGGGAGGTTCACAGAAAGTCTTAGCAAGTCTTAGATACTTGTTGTCTCTAGTCACAACTCATTGTCCAGAGCTGATCACATAACTCCCACAAATGGAGGGCTTCTGGAAGCTCAGAAGTCTGTGTCCAAGAAGGGGAGAGAGCCAGAGATACAGGAGATCGTGATGTATCCACAGCTGAGATAGTACAAGTTCTCTTTCCCATAGTGTCAGTGTGCCAGTGGCTATATTAGTCCTCATTAGAACTAGCCCAGTCCTCTCCTGTGGGATGACTGTCCACTTGTCCTCTGTACAAACCTATTTTGAATAGAATGGCCCAGATGTTTCAAAACCCTACCACATCCAGGACCCATATAGGCACTGGGTCTATATGGTTGGTATTGTGACCTCCTGTCCTTCAGAGGAGAGATGGGACCTTGTTTGGACCCTGAGCCATCTCAGAGAGGACTCCCTGGTGACCCAGTGCCATGATGCTTTGTTAAACATTGAGATCTGTCCACCCAGGCAGACCTTCCCTCAGATGACAGGGGGCCCCAAGAACAAGGGTTGTCCGGCCCAGTAGCCATGAGTTGCAGAGGC